CGCCGTCTCTGCCCTGCAGGAGGCCGCCGAGGCTTACCTCGTCAACCTCTTTGAGGACACCAACCTCTGCGCCATCCACGCAAAGCGCGTCACCATCATGCCCAAGGACATCCAGCTGGCCCGCCGCATCCGTGGCGAGCGCTCTTAAGCGTCTCACCTTCTCAACATGGCTCGCTCGCTCGATGTCGTTCTCTGACACCTTGCTTGGCTTGTCGTCATGAGGTTGCTTTGTCATCACCAACGCTGGTTGCATTTTGATCTGTGACACCTTGAATCATCCTCCCTCCCCTCCCTTGTTCTTAATTACCCACTTGGCCCTTGCTGTCTCTCTTGGTCTGTGCCACGGGTTGTCGCCTCCGCGGGCTCAAATTGTGCTCACACGTCTTTTATCCATGCTCGTGTTCCTGAGCACTTGACGCTGGCGGTGTCTTTGTGCGCTCGTGTGCATGGGAACCTCTCTCCCTCCCTCTCCCTGTGTGTAATGGCGTTGGCTTACCGTGGTATCGATTTGCCTCTGCGTAATGACACGCCGCAACGGCGTTTGGGGAGTTTCCCCGGCTTGTCCTGCCTCGCAACCCTTCTCCTTTGGTTCGTTGTTGCCTCTCAATACAATGATCAAACCGAACATTAATGTGAGGACCATGATGGCATCCTGCTTTATTCAAGCAAGTGGAATGAATGACACAGAAACAGATTGATCGTCATTGTGATGCCGTGCGTGTATTTGTGGCGGAGAGGAACAAAAGTCACAGGTGGCTACATTTACACAACTTCTTGTCAATGCAAACTCAGTGAGTCATTGGGTATCATGCGTGGTGAAGAATGAGGGAGTGCTGCCAGCATCTGAACGAGCACCATCGTGCCAGGGCGCGGCTCTTGGCAAACTCGCGTGCGTCCATCTCTTCGTGATCATCGTCATCATCGCGACGCTGTGTCACATGTGGGACAATGAATGACAGACACTGTATGTTAGCGTAAGCTGCTGTGTCTGTGCATGTATGTGTGTGCATTTGGTTGTGCCTGTGTGTCCATGTGTGTGTGTGTGAGAGCGAAGACTGTGAAAGCTCGTCAGCTCCATCCATCCAGCCATCCATCCATCCATCCATCCATCCATCCATCCATATTACCTTGAAGAACATGACGTGCCCCTGCCGGTCACCGGCAACGAAACCCCCAGCAGCAGTCGGCACAATGCACCTGCAGCGAGATACGTGCGGTTGTGTGTGTGTGTGTGTGTGTGTGTGTGTGTGTGTGTGTGTGTGTGTGTGTGTGTGTGTGTGTGTGTGTGTGTGTGTGTGTGTGTGTGTGTGTGTGTGATTGAGTGGCGTACATGTGTGCAAACAAGGGTGTCAAATGCGTGCGTTGTCTTACACACACACACACGCAAATGCGCACACATGCAAATGTGCACAGATGCATCAACCCCGCTCTTTCCGCCCCCACCCCCAACCTGATTGTGTTGCCGTGGACGGCAATGCTGTTGAGTGTTGTGCCGTCACGTCGCCAGATCTTGATGCAGTGGTCCCATCCACCAGACAGGATCGTGTTGAACCTGACGAAAGCACCAAGGCAGAACACGGCCGTGTTGAAATGGTGTGTTACATTACATTACATTACGCGTTTGTGGTGCACGAGCAGGGAGTAATGTTCCACACGAGGGGATGCATGGGGAGACGTCAGCACTTGCGCACTTGCGCACGTACAAACACACACACGCACACACACACGCACACACACACACACGCACGCACGCACGCACGCACGCACGCACGCACGCACATACACGCACACACCTTGCATCGAATATGACGTCCAAGACGTCTCGTGTGTGCTGTCGATACACGACACCAGCACGGGCAACTACAACATAACCACCACCGCCACCACCGCCACCAACGCCACCATCGCCCGGACTGCCCCTGCTGTCGCTGTCGTCGTCGGCGTCGTCGTGCGTGTATGTGAGGTGCCAGACACGACAGGTGCAGTCGCTGCTCGCTGTCACGAGTGTTAGATCCGGCGAAACGCACAGCGCATTCACCTGAAGGGGTGTGATGTGGCAGGCAATGGTCGTGGAGGTGAGGTGGGAGATGAGTTGATGTTGAGAATGCATTGTGGTGGTATGTCGTCAGTTACCACACCAGCACATTACCACAACCAACCGCAGTCACAACACAACAACAACACCAGCAGCAACAACACCAGTCACAACAGCAACCATCACAACACAACAACAACAACAACCACCACCGCCACCGGCAGCAGTGCAAATCTGCGCCACCTGCTCCGTGTGCTGTTCGGCGAGCGTCTGGAACGACAGCACCACGGCCCTGTGTCGTCGCTTGCCCCGCCCCCCGCGAGAAGGCGGTGATTTGGATCGTGACGATGATAATGACGATGCTGGTGCTGGTGCTGAGCTTGGTGATGTTGACTTGTTTGTACCCCATGCACCCGTTGCTTGGTCCAGTGCTGCTGTGGATACCGTCTCGGGGATGGCTGGCATGCCTCCTGGTGTTGCTGCCGACTGTGTCTTACCCGTCGACGACGCACCACCAAGACTCACGCTGCTGCTGCTTCGGCTGTAACCGCCACCACCGCCACCAACACGATGACGAAGGCCAGTGCCATGGTCTTGAAGCACGCTGCCCACGCGGCACAGCCCAACACGGCCGCTCTTTGTTGCGCACACGATGTAATCCCCGTACGGCAGCCAGCAACACCCGAGCACGTGGTCGACACGTGCCAGCGGATTTTCGGACCGTGATTCCTCCTCTGCAGCCATGCCACGCTGCTGCTGCCCTGCGTGTTGCTGCTGTTGCCGTTGTTGCCCTGCGTGCTGCCTGTCATCCTTCAATGGCATGAGGCATGCTGCCACGAGTGCGCCCGTGCGTGTGCACCAGAGCATGCACGATCCGTCCGCCGACGGTGTCGCCACCGCGCGTCCGCTCGGCGACTCAACACCTACACGCCATGCCCGTTGACGAAGGTGGTAATATGGGGGCATGTTTGGGGCGGGGGATGAGTGACGATGAGCAAGGCGGGGTGGTAGCGTGGATGTACTCGCGTTCACACGCACATGTGCACACACACACATGTGCACGCACATGCACATGCACATGCACATGCACACACATGCACGCACACATGCACACACATGCACGCGCACATGCACACACACACACACGCACACGCACGTGTGCACACCTGGGTTTGTGATGACCTGTGCGTGTCTACCGGCTGTCCATATGCGAGTTGCGTCGAGCGACCACTTCTCAATGGTGCCGTGGCCGCCACACGTGTACACGGCCCGCCCGTCGAACGAGCGGGAGATGAACCTGGCAGCCATGGTGGTGGTGGTGGTGGTGGAATAGGTGTGGGTGGTGGTTGTGGAATGTGAATGGGTGATGTTGACGAGTCTTCGGCGGTGCACATGAGGGAGTGAAACGCCAAAAGCGCACACAATGACGCCGGGAAAGAGGGGTAAGATAGCCGTAGCCAAGGTGACGGCTGTGACCCATGCCATGAAGCACCATGTGCTGTTGTTTCGTTGTGCTCTTACCGCGTTCCCTGCGTTTGCCCTTCAAACTTGCGCACAATCTGAGCACAGTCGTGGGTCACAGAGGATATGAGAAGAGCGATTGCGTGAAGTTTTGTGTGTGTGTGTGTGTGTTTGTGTGTGTGCTTGTGAGTGTGTTCGTGTCAGCCATGGGTACACAGGTACATACACTGTCGCAACCAATGGAATCAATCGTACGTACAACACACGCACTCACACAACACTCACCCCCCCCCCCCCTCAACACACACAACACTCATTCACACAGACACATCATCAGCACGGTGCCACCTTGTGCTTGGTTGTGTCGATGAGGATGGCTGTTGATCCTTTGCCCGCGAGCAGCATGTGGCGGTTTCCAGAAGACGTGAACGGGAGCGACACGCAGAAGAACTGAACGCAGTAGGAAAGGAACGCCGATGGAAGGAAGGCAGAAGCCATGGTGATTCGAGGTGCACGACACCAAAGCTGGTTCAAGTGCAGCAATACACAAATAACTCAAACAAACAAATGCGCACACACGCACACGCACAAAAAAACATACAAACAAACACACAAACAAACACACAAACACACACAAACAAACAAACGCGCACACAAAAACACACACACAAACACACACAAACAAACAAACAAACCAACAAACAACAAACAAACAAACAAACAAACAAACAAACAAACAAACAAACAAACAAACAAACAAACAAACAAACAAACAAACAAACAAACAAACAAACAAGCAAGCAAGCAAACAAACAAACAAACAAACAAACAAACAAACGTGCAGTACCTGAAGGCAGGCGATGGTGTAGCCGACGTCTGTCCATGTGATGTTGCACGGCGGGAACGGGCGCGTTGTGCCATGGCCGTCCACATATGTCAAGGCCTGTCCAGCCAATGCAGACCGTGACGAGGAGCCACCAGCGTTTCGTTCCCGCAATCCCACCAGATACCCGCCCACGCTCCTCTCCAGCTCGTCCAGGTCCGGCGAGCCGATGCGAAATGAAACGCATCTGGACTGGACGTCCACCACCAACGCGCACGACAGCTTGTTCTCGCGTTTCTTCTCGGACACATGTCCGTTGGAGCCAACAGCCAGCTGTGAGCCGTCTGCACAGAAGCAGAGCGACTGCAACCACGCACTGGCAACGCACATCGAATACTCCGCTTGGAGAGACATGAACCCGCCACAACCACCGCCACCACCGCTGGTGTTGTCATCGGTGTTGGCGTTGTCGTTATTGCTAGTGTCGTCGCTGCGTGGTGTATGGTCGCTCCTCGTTGGAAGCTGCACACGTCCTGCCGGTGCGCTCGTGTCCGCGAACATGTCCGCGAGCGTTGTGATTGGGGGCGATGTTGCTGTTTTGCTTGCAGGCAACGGCTCGCCCTCTGCGACCTGTTGTCCCTCACTCTCACCATCACCGGCGTCATGAGGGCCCTTGCCATTGCCACTGATGGAGAACATAAACAGCCGGCCCTGATCGTCGGAAACGGCGAGGCGATCCTTGTTCGTGTCAAACGCACACGCCAGCAGCGGCGAAGCGTGTCCGATGCATGCAAGCAACGCCCCTGTTCATGTTGAGGTGTGGTTGCGTGTGTGTGTGTGTGTGTGTGTGTGTGTGTGTGTGTGTGTGTGTGTGTGTGTGTGTGTGTGTGTGTGTGTGTGTGTGTGTGTGTGTCCGTAAGTAATCGTGTAGAGCGCCGATGTCACACACACACACGCACACACAAAACTATCGCACGTACACACACACACACACAAAACCATCGTCGCATACAATACCCGTCTTGAGGCTGAGGAACTGGAGGTGTCCGCCCTCGAGTGTGCATGCAAGCACACCACATTTTGGGATTGCCGTCGCACACGCCACTCGCTCGTCGCCGACTGGAAATGCAGGGAAAAGAGACGAGGAGGAAGGAAGAGTGTGATGAGTCGCGAGTGGGGAGGATGTGGGGAAATTCGATACAGAAATGCCAAACGCGTGCACGCCATCACACAAACACAAACACGTACACATGCACAAGAACACGCACGCGCACACACACAACACACATGCACAAGAACATGCACAAGAACACGCACACAGAAACACACGCTCTCTCCAACTCACAGCAGCGCGTCCACTCCTGGCTGAAGTAAACGGATGTTGGGTCCGGGGAAATGTGAAGGGAAATCAATTCCACACTCCTCACCCGACACAACAGCAGCTGCAGCGAAGTGTCACCGGCACTGCTGTTGTGTTTGGTGTTTGGTGATGATGGCGCCACAAAGGGTGTACACGTGTACATGCGAGCAGATGTGTGAGATGTGTGTGTTTGTGTGTAGGCGTGTGTGCATGTGTGTGCATGTGTGTGCATGTGTGTGCATGTGTGTGCATGCGTGTGTTTGTGTGTTTGTGTGTTTGTATGGTTGTGTGTGTGTGTGTTTGTCTATGTGTGCGAGAAGCATCGCCATGAGGGCGAAAGGCAAGAGCACACGGCTTGATGCACTCAGCCGCACTACCTGGATGACTTCAATGATGAAGATGATGATGGTGGTGGTGGTGGTGATGATGGTGATGGTGATACAATGACTGCCTCCATGATGCTCCGATCTTTGTCTCCGCTTCCGCGCGTGTGCTCGGCAATCAGTTCCCCCGATCGACGGTGCACACGCACACACCCGTCCTCCGCGGCGGACACAATCTGAACAGACGTTGTACAATGGAATGTGTACATGCACGTTTGTTTGTGTGCATGAGTTCGCGTCAAAGCGAAAACGTGTGCACATAGCAAACTTGCACTGAACAAGAAGGGCGTATGCCCACACCGGTCAGGGAATGACACAAATTGCCAAGTTGACTCACCACTCTGTCGCGCGCTGCCCACGCAACAAATGAAACGCTGTCCGTGAACCCCTGTCTCAGACGTATTCATGATGGGTGTAAAACATTCGCGAGAAACGATGAGATGGCCAGGGCACTGGATGTTGGTGTTCAAATGCTTTGTAAGCACACGCGGGAGTATGTGCAGTCCTACACACACACACACACACATACACATATACGCACACAAACGCGTCTACACACACACACACACCACACACCACACACACACACACATCTACACACACATACACGTTTAAACACACACATACACACACAACGCGTCTTCACACAGAATAGCGGCACCTCGAGAATGGCTTCGCGTTCGCCGTCGTGCACGCGCATGATAACGACACAGCTATACTTTCGGTTGAAGCTGAACAGCAACAGCAACAGCACCACAGGTCGTGTGTTGGCGCGGCAACGTGTGGCCACGAGTGGGTGAGTGCGTGCGTGCGTGCGTGCGTGCGCGGGTGTGTGAGTGAGGGAGTGCGTGAGTGAGGGAGTGAGGGAGTGAGGGAGTGAGTGAGTGAGTGAGTGAGGGAGTGAGTGAGTGAGGGAGTGAGGGAGTGAGTGAGTTGACAGCTATGAAAAGTAGTCTCCGAACACCGTGCATGAGATCACAAGTGCGCGTGTGTGCTATTGATCCCGCCCTCAGCTACAACCTACGACCACCACGACCTCGGCCGCATCGCAACACGGTTCCACGCCAAATGCAACGTGTGTGCACTGACCTTGCTGTCATGTACCCGAGGGCAACAGCAGACTCGTCGCTGCTGAGATGTGTGCACAGCACCTGCGCCCCGGAATGGGGACCGCTCTGAAGTCGCAATCTGGCGGTTCGTGGAAGTGGTGGTGGTTTGTGGGTGGTGGGGCGGTGGCGGTTGTGAGCTGTTGGCAGCTGTGACGATTGTGGTTGTTGATGGCAGTTTGAGACAATTTCAGTTGCGGATGACAGCGAAACATGACAATAGGCAGAGCTCCGTGACAGCAGAAACGGATCGGATGTGTTGCAATGAACACAACACACTTACATATGCACACGCATGCACACGAGCACACACACACACGTACACACACACACACAATCACACAATCACACGCATACGCACACGGCGCAACACGACATGCAACCCACGGATCAGCGTCAAGCTTTGAATTTGGCCAGACGTAGCACTGGTCGCCGTGCGAAGTGCCCGTCACAATCGCGTCGTCGTGTGCACCTGGGGTGTGGTGGCGATGGTGTTGTGTGCATTGAGCATGTTGTGTGGGTGATGAGTGGTTATGGAAGGCAGCAGTACCCATGTCGTTGAAACAAAACGAGCAACAACACACACACGTATGCATGCACACATGTGCACATACATTTGTGTACATGCACACACCTATGCACACACACACACACACACACACACACACACACACCCTCACCGGCGAATGCGATGCCCCTGAAGTTGACAGCGGGCGCGTGTCTGGATGTGCTGGTGCATGTGGCGTTTGCTGCATCCCACAGATGAACAGTTCGATCATCGGACGACGTCGCAACACGCGAGCCATCGTCGCTCATCGCAATGTCCGTCACCTGCAGCGGCGACCGTAGTGTGTGTGTGTGTGTGTGTGTGTGTGTGTGTGTGTGTGTGTGTGTGTGTGTGTGTGTGTGTGTGTGTGTGTGTGTGTGTGACGAAACAGCTCTCACCAAAGAGTCCTCCAACTCCCCCCCCCCGCTTTCTTTGCGCCTTTCTTCTTTCACCTGTTTGCCGCTCTGCTCACCTTGAACTTGTGTTGGACGGTGGTTGTTGCTGCTGCCAAGTTGTCGAGATCCCACGAGCGACAGGAGCGGTCAGCACTGCCCGTGATCACCATCCCCATTGCTGAATTGTACACGAGCGTGTCAATGGCCGTCGCGTGTGCGTCCACGACTGAAACGCATTTAACTGTAGTGGGGCGGTTGGAGCGTTTGTCCACTTGAAATTTCCACAGTCGCAGCGCGCCATCCAAACCCGCAGACACAAACTGGTGTGTCCCTTCGATAAATGCGCCTCGCAGTACCCAGGAGGTGTGGCCTGTTGCCTGCACGCATTCCGTGCACGGCTTGCCCTTGAACTCAGCCTGAGTGCGATTGTGAATGTGTGTGTGTGTGTGTGTATGTGTGTGTGTGTGTGCGTGCGTGTGTGTGTGCGCGCGAGAATGGTGGGCGATGAGTCATGTGAATGACTGGTGTGTGTGTGTGTGCACGAGTGTATGCAAGTAGTGGGTGAACAGGTGTGCAAAGCGATCACTAAGCGCCATGCCAAACCACAGTCGTGTGAATTCAGCTATGGCCTGCGTCGATTGAAACAACCAAAGATACGCGTGACACAACCATACCTGTGGGTCAAACGGCTGTGCGGCAGCAAGGCAGTCCGACACCGCAAACACGCGTAAGGACTTGTCCTGCGACGATGTGAGCAAGAATCTGAAGAAACAACCAACGCAAGCAGCAACATCAGAGAGCGCGGCCTCGTAACACTTGTGGGGGACACAGAAATGCTCTGGCGGAAGAATGCACTTGCACATGACGTCCTCATGATGTACACACACACACACACACACACACACACACACACACACACACACACACACACACACACACACACACACACACACACACACCTGCCGTCGTCGCTGAATGTGACGTGCGTAACGTGCCCGCCGTGCTGTTGGAGGAGCGCAATCCTGGACACATGACCACGGGTGTCCAGCTCAATCACACCAGCAGCACCGCGGTGGTCCCCTTGGTGCAGTGGGTGGTGGTGGTGGTGGTGGGTTGGTGTTGGTGTTGGTGTTGGTGTTGGTTTGGAAGGATTAATTGGTGTGAGAAGGCGAATGCGTCAGTGCATGGGAGTGTGAGTGCGGTAGACATGAGAGAAAGGATGGCTGTTGAGACTTCCGAGGTCTGCGAATGCAAGCACACACGTGTGTATGCACACGCACACACACACACATCACACTAACATGTAATATGTACGTACCGTACCGTACGTACGTACGTACGTACACACACACACACACACACACACACACACACACACACACACACACACACACACACACACACACACACACACACACACCTGCCGTCGTCGCTGAATGTGACGTGCGTAACGTGCCCGCCGTGCTGTTGGAGGAGCGCAATCCTGGACACATGACCACGGGTGTCCAGCTCAATCACACCAGCAGCACCGCGGTGGTCCCCTTGGTGCAGTGGGTGGTGGTGGTGGTGGTGGGTTGGTGTTGGTGTTGGTGTTGGTGTTGGTTTGGAAGGATTAATTGGTGTGAGAAGGCGAATGCGTCAGTGCATGGGAGTGTGAGTGCGGTAGACATGAGAGAAAGGATGGCTGTTGAGACTCCGAGGTCTGCGAATGCAAAGCACACACGTGTGTATGCACACGCACACACACACACACACACAAACACAAACACGCATGCACGCATGCACACACGAGTACACACGACTGACCAAAAGCCAGGACGCGTTGCGTTGGGGAGGCAGTGATGGTTGCACCCTTTGTGAGGGAAGGAATGTGCTTTGATGAAACGCAGAACAGCTCCTGTGCAGTGATCATGGCAGTAAATCGATGGGCATCGTTGCAATAAGTGGTCAAGCGGCAAGTCGCACGCGCTCAAATACGCACACTTGCACACTTACACACGTGCATTCGCGAAACATTCAATTGCCAACACCCATTTCCCCCCCCCCACACACACACGCACACACACACACACACACACACACACACACACACACACACACACACACACACACGCACGCACGCACACACACACACACACACACACACACGCACACGCGCGCGCACACATACAACCGACATGCAAGAGGCAGACGGACCTTGAGATCGGGTGTGAACCCCTTAACTTCCGTGTCTGCGCTGAAGGTGACAATCACATCACCATCGCCAACCATTGTCATGGAGAGAATTGCGCCCTTTGTCTCTCGCATCCATCCAAGATCCACCACCTCGCTGCTGTGCGCCTGCACCTGCCCAAGCTTCTCGCCCGTGTTAATGTCCCACCGAATCACGCACGCATCCTCGCTGGCCGTGTAGAGAACATCGCGTGATGTGATGCACATTGAACGGACATACTGGGCGTGCCCGTCCAAGCGAAAGCGCAGCGAGTACGTGGTTGTATCCCACACCACCACAGCGCCGTCCACAGACGCTGAGATGAGAGCGGCGTCGTCGTGGCTGAAGGCAACGCACTTGACTGCGCCCTTGAAGCTCTGGTTCCACTCGCCCTCGTTCAGGACGGTGCTGTCGTGACCCCGTAGCACAGCAACCACGCTCCCACACGTGCGCACCTCAAACACCGCAACTGGCAACAGAGGTGCATATGTACGCAGATGTACGGAGGTGTGAGGTGGAGGGGGTAGAAGATGGTTAAAATGGAATGCATGCTCCCATCCTGTCATAAAATGCAACATGACATAAACCCCTACGGTGCACTCTTCATCACAGACACACACAAACTCGAACGCACGCATACGAGCACACACACAAACACACACACACACACACACACACACACACACACACACACACACACACACACAAACTCGAATACCGAGAGCGTTGTCTGTGCCAACGGCGACACAATCGCCAGCGCTGTTGACACACGCGCAACCAACAGCCTCAAACTCCGGCAGCGTCATGGTGAAGCTGCAAGGGTTCTCGGCCGTGGGCTTGTTCATCCACTCCATAAAGGGTGTGACAGCACCCTCCTCCCCCACATCGCTGCTGATGACAGCGACACCGCGCCTGCTTGTGGTCGTGGCGGTGGGCGTCATCGTCGTGATAGAGGTGGTGGTGCCCTGTTTCGCTGCGCGCGCAGCTGCTGGCGTGTGGGCCGTGAGGGCCGAGGATGATGATGATGATGGAGAGGGTGTGCTCGCTTTGAGCAAGTCCGTTACCTGGCATGACCATGACGCACGCATGCATGCATGCATGTATGCACGTGAATGGATTGCGCAGCGAGGTGGAACGGCCACCATATGAGCGAGCAAGCTTTAGCGGCCACGTGCACATACAGACACGCACACACATGCCGTTACGCTCACGCCACAGCAACCACACCGCAGTAAGCTTGCCACATTCCAGTGCCCGCCCTGCTCGGGCGTACCTGCTGGAAGATGAAGCTTGTGTCTGGCATGGTGAGCGCAGCCTGCAACACCCCCATCAGACGTTGCTCGATCACGTGCGCGTGTGTGCGGACAAAACGCAGCATCAGAGCTGTGCGTGCATACGCGGGGCCTGTCCTGTCCACCACGCTGCCGCCATCAGCACAGCCTGCAGTTGTGTGTCCAGCACCACCACTACCAGCACCAACACCAGCACGCCCATGCTGCTGTTGTCGTTGCTGTCGTTGTCGTTGTGATTGCTGGTCGTGTTGTTGGAATATGCGAAGTCGGTCCGACACACGGCCGCCGCCCGTCCCCTGCGCTGCATCGTCACTATCCTCAGTGGCCGCGCGTGTGCTGCCTGCACTGCTTGTTTGCGGGCGTGTTGGTGTTGATGGTGTGAGGGCTTCGAGGGTCTGGATCAAATCGGGCAGCACTGACGACAGCAGCCCGTGGTGGAAGCACGCGGCAATGTACAGCAGATCCGTCACCGTCTCACTCGCAGCCTGACGCAAGGTGAATGTGTGTGTGTGTGTGTGTGTGTGTGCGTGAATGTGTGTGTGTGTGTGTGTTGCAATACATGGTTATCGCAATCAAGACGTGGATGTCAAACACGTCTCCCGCCACCGCCACCACCATCAACCACCACCATTGGCAAGCATCACCTCGATGTGGTTGGCCTGCAGCTGGTGGTGCACGAGCTCCTGACATGTGTGCTTGCGGATGAGCGCGACGGTGTGGGGGCGGCGGCAGTCAACGGACTTTCGTTCCAGCAGGAGCCGCACTTTGAAGAAGGACTCACAACGCACGTGCGCAGCGCGCCGCGCTTCTGCCGTCGACAGGTACTTGTTGTGCACTGTAACGATGCGTGTGTGTGTGAACCATCAAATACGATCAACGTCCTGTTTACATGACCACACCCTTCATCGCCTCAACAAAGCACCAGCAATCCTGCTGAACAGGCACGAACGCGTGTACGCGCACGCGCACGCGCACATCACACAAACACACACCCACGCACCCACACGCACACACCCACCCACACACCCACACGCACACACACACACGCACACACATCACACAAACACACACGCGCGCCACAAAACAACGCACCTGCCCGGCGCACGTAGTCGTGGAGAAAGGACAGCGTTGTTCCGCGCTCGACGAGGAGGAAGCTAAGAGCGTTGTACAGCGCAGACCAGGCAATGCTCTGCTCGGGCGCGTTTAGATTGCAAATTGCACGCAGCTCCTCCGCCTCCATTCCCGTTCGGGACACGGCAATGGCGGATAAAACGTCCGCCACCGCAGATCCTTGCGATGCAAACGTGTGTTCGAGCCTGGTGAGAATGGCAACGAGAAGGGCGTCAATTGTCCGCGTGCGTGTGAGCTCGGCAATCTTGTCGTCCAGGCTTTCGAAATGCCCAAACGAAACGAGTTCTGAGGTGAGGAGGACCAGAAATAGGGCATTTTTGGCTGCGGGTGCGTTTAGAATGGAGGAGAGCTGGGGTGGCGTCAGCGTCTTGCTTGCAAGCTTCATGCGCTGCACAACAAAATCTTCTCGCTCCTCCTCGCTCATCAGCGGCACTGCCCAGGTCACATATGTATGCGCAATATGTATGTGAGTGTGCGTGTGTGTGCGTGTGTGTGCGTGTGTGTGTGTGTGTGTGTGTGTGTCATGAAGGGATAATGGTTCCATGACATGCGGTGACGGATGGCAAACGCAAACGCGTACACATACACGCACAGTCGCAAGCTCTCACACGCGTGGCCACGTGACTGCGACTGTCACCTTCAAAGCTCGGCGTGTTCCATGCCATGAGCGTGTCCTGGCAGTCGCACGGTAGCGTGGATGCAATCACCACGACGTTGGCCGGCATGCTTGCAGGCAACCAGCCGAGGCTGTGAAACCGACATGGTGATGCGCAGGGGAGGTGCAGCTTAGAGCATGTGCAAACCAAAGGGGTGGGTAACACAGCACACATGCACACGCGCAAATAGAAACAGTGACAGTGCACGCACACAAGCAAGCACACGAGCACACAAGCACACACACAAGCACACACAAACATGGTGACAGTGTGCGCACTTGTGCACGGCGCCACCCTTGAGCCACGAGAACCGCGTATTGGCCATTTGGTTCAACGCGTCAAAGACAAGAAATAAACGGCGATTCGATGCAGAAAGAACAGCGCCGGCGGCAGACAGCACCCGAGGGAGCCTGCAGCGCGATGTGTGTATGTGTGTGTGTGTGTGTGTGTGTGTGTGTGTGTGTGTATGTGTGTGTGTGTGTGTGTGTGTGTGTGTTTGTCAGTGTGCTTTTGGGCGCGTATTACTTCACAGCGGAAAGCGTGATCCCTCCAGAGACAGTCCACTTCACGACAGCGCATGTACAACGCAGTAGCACACCGGCAGTGACACCAACGATGACGACATACTCGTTGACAAGCGTGTGCACGTCGTGTGCGGTGGCCAGAGCGAGCAGCGACTGGCGCTCATCGCCATCACCATCGCCATCTGTGGCGTTCGCTGCCTGATCATCGCTCAGGATGATGCGGAACAAGTGCCCTGTTGGCATGTATGTGTGCGTGTACGTGTGTGTGTGTGTGTGAGTGTGTGCGTGCGTGTACGTGTGTCGTGCGTGTACGTGTGTGTGTGCGTGTGTGCGTGCGTGTGCGTGTGTCGTGCGTGTACGTGGGTGTGTGTACGTCAAACACAGAGAGGGCGTAGGAGACGCTGTACAACAACAAACAGCAAACGCCAACCATCATCGCCACCACCATCAACGACAACGCACTGTAGAGTCGACGGAAGACATTCTCGAGCTGCGACGATTCTGCATCGCAGCCGGCGAAATGCACAAACACAGAGTCCTGGACAACACGCGCATATGTGTGTGTGCGTACATGTGTGTGTGCGCGTACATGTGTGTGTGTGTGTCAGAGAAAGAAGCGCTCTTGAAACGTCTATCCTTCTGCTTTCCTTTGTTCCATTCAACGAACACATACACGCACACATACGTGCGTGACAGCACACACGCCTGCACACACGCCTGCGCACACGCCTGCGCACACGACTGTACTCATCTCCCTCCCTGTTGATGCCGTACCTGCGTGTGTGTGCGCGTGTGGTGCTTTGCCCAGTTGGCCAGCAGCGCGCTTTTTCCGCTGCCGGACGGACCGTATACAGCCAGCACCCGGCGATCACTCGTAGTGGTGGCGGTGGTGGTGGGCTAGTGGTCGGGGGAAGGAGGTGGTGACAAACAGGATGTGTTGAGATGTGTGATGCGAAGCGTCGACGAGCTGTTACACGTGCACACAGATGCATGCACACTCGCACACGCACACACACAAACACCGCACACGCACACACACACACACACACACACACACACACACACACACACACAC